AACAGATTAGCAGTCATTGATTGGCTTAGGGCATCTTTAAGCATGGTTTCTAGAGAGACACTCCCTTTGGTGTCTGGCTAGTTAGAGTCAATGTTCTCCACTTTAATAATGTCAGTGTTTTCGAGAAGTTCAGACAGATCAGTGAGATCAGCATCTTTTACTTTTATAGTTAAGACTTCAATAGTATGAGAGCAAGTTTAGAAAACATTTTTATTAGACAAATTATGTAGACAAATTATACACAGAAAGCTCTGCCACTCATAACTGAGGCCTCCAAAATGTTTTGTGTACTTGTAGAATAGGCAATACATCAAAATCAGCCTATTTCCAGTATTGTACATGGTTAACAGTTTGTTGGTAGCTGAAGTCACTGCAGCATCTGGTGTGCCCCTATATAGCTGTAAAGACTTTTCTGTTTGAAAATCGGAGTTGGAAATGAGAAGAACATGAGTGTCACAGGGGAACAAGGTGTGCATGCACTGCGGGACTCGTCACCCTGGAAACAAAGTGGTTTCTCGTGAAAAGTTTTCTGCCTGACACAGTAGACAATATTTAGAGATTTAGTACAAAAACAGTGACAGTACAAGATGCTCCCCAGAACAGAATTAGATCAAAATAGAATACCCCTTAAGAATATACCTCTTAACTGCTCTTAAAGCAAACCACATAGGCTGGATCCTCTAGCAATCCTAGCCACAGAACGAATGAGAGTAAAGTAAGCGTACGGCTGCCTGAAAACACAGGGTGAGTCCCTGCTTTCTACTTACCACGTCGAGTTTAAGGATTACAGATGAAGCTCATTCTATGTTTCTAACAGATAAGAATGCTACTTTTAGAGGACTGTGCACAAAGAGGCACTGATTTTTTGCTTGTCGCCCCTGCTGGCACTGATTTTGAAAAGAACAGAACACCTCCAAGTAGAAGCGGGTAGAAAGGGGGTTCAGATGAGAGAGCCCAGTATAGTTGTTACGTTTGCTGTAGGGTGATGTATGACACAAATAAGGCCACATTGACACTTCTGGGGGGCTCCCCTCCTCCCTAGCTACGGTTATGTGGATCGGCTTGCAGCTTCGGAAGAGGATTTTCAACCTACAATGATCTATGGTTAAACTCAGCTCTGTGTGCTGTGTGTGTATGTGGGGGGGGGGGTCAGCTAATGGCATTTCCCATTTAGATAATTAACAAAAGGTAAAATTATCAAGGTTAGCTTTATACACTGCTGAGTAATGAATGCAAAACCTATTCAAATGAGTACATCTAGGAACAAAGATGAAATCACCCTGGATGTTTTAATAACAAAATTATAAAATAGTCTCTTGGCAAACAACGCAGGTCAGAATGACATTAAAGCAACCCGCCTTTCCAAAGGGAAAGGCCTCCTGCGCTGCCGTAGCTACTGTACACAATGCTTGGTTTTTAAACTAAAGCTTTATTAAATGAATTGCAATAGCAATGGCTGCATTTATATATATATACACATTATATAGGTGCATATATATGTATATATGAAATACTAAGTTATTTAACACAATAAAGGCCTTTGCCATATGGTAAAGTTTACTGTACATAAGGAAAAGTTGGAATATTGTACAATCACATGAAGGTGGCATGCACTGCTACAGTGCAAGGGGGTTTTTAACTGTAGTCTTGACTGGCAGATTAATGGCTTTTTGTAATCCTACAAAACTGCATTCTCATAGTGCGTGGCCTGAACGGTCTTCAAATCGTTTTACAGACACTGCAGGGGTTGCCTTTGGTCCACAGTTAAAGGACGCTTGACAACAGTGGAGAATTCTATGGATGCAGCTGAAGATGGAGAAAGACTGAAGTTATTGCAATTATAGTTTCAAAACAGAGGAACGGTACATGGGAGCCGTGGATGCAAAGTCAACCCTGCGAGTGCTCTCAGTGACCCAGTGCTCACTCCCTATACTTGAAGTACAGTGTATGAAAAGCAGACTAATAGGATCCTAGAATACTGTATTCTTGGGGAACAAGTTGAGTAATGAAAAAAAATGGAGGGTGATAGATAGAAGGAGAAAGAGAGAGAGAAAAGCAATAGGTCAGGGAAGGGGTGTGAGGAAAAAGAACTAGAATTGTTACTAATTATCCTGATTTCTTTTAAATAAAACGTCACATCCATGTTAGTCCCACATTGCAGTTGCTCCTTTGGGGGAGTCCTAGAATAGGCGGAGCTGTCTGCTGCTCATATGGACGTGCCTCGGTCAGGGTCATTGCCCAGATTGAGCCCCAGGGTGGGAGTAGGCTGATAAGGAATAGATGACATTGTTTTGATAGGACTCCTGAAAAAGCCCCCGTTAGGGGCCCTGTGCCTAAAAGGGCCAGTTCGGTGCTCCGGCACACTACCGAAAGCAAAGCCAGAGGCAGCCTTCGCTGAGAGTGTGCGGCTAAGAGTCTGGATCTGTTCTGGGATGAAGGTGGTGGTGGTGATGTGAGTGTTTCTGAAATCACTGATCTGCTCCAGGGCTTGTCGTGTTGGCAAAGTGTCAATGTCCAGAGGGGTCAAGTCAATTGACGAGGTGGAAAACTGTTTATGGGGGCTGTCGTCATCTGTGCACAAGCTATTTACACGTCTATGAAGGTGCTCCAGGTCAATTTCCTTGTCATCCTGGAGATGAAGAAAAAGAAAATAAGGTTCTCATCAGTACTAGCTTGCATGGATTAAAAAAAAAAAGTTGTTCAGCAAACATGTAATTAACTGAACTTTGGGGCATATTCGCTTAACAGACATTGACTTGGCCCCTAGCATGAGCCAGGCATTGGGCTTGTTTCTGGGAATCCTGACAGGGCTTTGAGATAAAGTATCTATAATAAATACTTTCTTTGCAGCCGGAGCTTTAAAATGAACGTATGTCACATGCAGCTACAAAGACGCAGGACAGGCTCAGGCAGGGACGCGAGCAGAGGGTCTGATTCTGGTGACTTCCCTCAACCCCCGCCACCCCTTCTCGGTACATGCTTCCTCTTTTAGAGTCTCATTCCAAATGGATTTTTTGATCCTTTCTATCGCTTAGGCCTAGCCTCAACTTTCTGTTCTTAGATGAAGGAGATATGTGTTTCTTCGTGCTAATGTGTCAATGACTATTAAAGTGTTGTTTCTTGCAGCCCAGGGTTATGATGATTTTTAGAAAGAGTCAGCACAAGAGGGACTTCTCCTTGACAGGGACATGCGATACCCAGCACCTGCATCTGGCAACTGTGAGGTCAGAGTGGCGTTTAACAGATTCCTTCAAGTCAGGGCATGCGAATAAACATCTTTCACTGAGGGTCAGTTTTATGTTAAGTGGATATGTTTGTAAGAAGTTCTATTTATTTATTTTAAAAGGCAGTAAAGCCTCAGAATTTTAGAGAGAAATCCTATCCACAAACCCTTCAGGGTTGAAAAAATAGACTCGAGAAGAAATAAAATTTTCTTTGTGATCAGACTTATTTAGAGCCAAGGTCAATAAACTAAACTGATGAGGTTATAAAAATGTCCATTAATCATAAGAGGAGAAAATATTTGTTCACAGAACCCAGAATGGCCGTCGGAAGTTAGAACAGGGTACGTGTTTTCCCGACACGCATGCAGTACTCTGCAGCGAACCCTGCCAGGATGCACAGCCCTTCTTTCCCTTCTCCTTTCTCATTTAAAATCCAATAAAAAAAATCCATTAATGCAGCATTATCACCGAGACTTCAGAAGGTTGAGATGTATAATTTTATGGTTCCCAAGGCAACTGTAATCTAGACATCCATCAACAGCTATAACAATGCAAACATTTAATATCTTCTGTAGTAACTCAAAAATAGAAGCCCAGGAGCCCTTAATTTCCAGGGTTTGCAGAACATCGAGTCTCAGCTACCATCTGCATTAATGTGGCCTTTTGCCTTGGGTTGATGTCAGCAGAGATACCAGTGCTTGCTTACTCTACAAAGACGGCATGGCAGTAAACCTGATTAGCTTTTAATTCGGTCTCCAAGGAGTGGGATTGTGTATGATCACTCACACAGGTAAGAAGCAAGGAAAGCGAAGCTGTTCTTATGAACGGTACTGATCTACTTTGCATCTAAGGAGCTACGAGGATCCTTAGACTATGTAGATAAGGATGTTCGAAAGACAAACATTGCCGCGCAGACATGCATATACAAATGAGAGATCATTTTTTATTTGTACATCAAAGCCAATCCTCTGCGGACCGCCTTGGGCATCAGCCAGTCAAGTGCTGGGCAGAAAGTTTAAAACTCTTGTTGAAACTGCCCCTCAAATCAAACCACTGAATACACTCAAGTTGCTGCTTTTCACATCAACTCTTTTAAGATCGACGAGCCAAGTATTGCTGTTGTTTTTCATGTTCATGTTTTCTCTGCTTTTGGATATACCTCACCTGCTGCTTTCCCTGAGGCACGATGCATAATTCTGCAACCATTCTCACAGACAGCTATACAAACTTGAACATGACCCTGCAGTTAAGCTGATGACACAGTCAGGGAGGTAAGCAGAATTCAGCATGATTTCCCAATGTGAATTTGGCACAATTGGGCTCATGGGAGAGCCCCAGACACACAGTCATTTCTTCAGATCTTCACACATAGATAGGAAGTAGTGACTAATGGTGAAGAGAAAGCATCATGCCAGCGTCTTTTAGGCCTAGTCTTTAAAACACAAGTTTATCTACAACTTTAGGAATTGAAAGAAACTATTAAGCATCTTTGTGAACTGGGTCAAGGGAACCACAGCCTTGCAGGATCCTTAGTATGTAGCCTGAGACTCAGAATTTCAGAGCCTGCTACAGAATATGAAATTGTCGGCCTCACAGACCCGGCCCCTTGCTCTTTATTTACCAGTGTCCTAAATGGAAACTGGTGTTGGCTCGCCACATGCCTATTTTGAATCTTCAAAGAAGGCAGAAAAAGCAATTGCTAATGTTACCCTTTCCTCCCTGGAAATACAGCCACCGGATATTTGGCAGCTCTAGTTGGGGCCCAAGTTCAAGTACCTCTTTGGATGGGACCCGCGAGCCCTTCCTCCGGCTCCACCACGTCTCCAGCACCGCTATGAGACAGGAGAGCACGATCCCCGCGGCCAGAATACAGAACACGCCTGCCAGGCTCTTGATGTCCAGGGCTCCTCCCTTCTGTTTCGCATCTACTGAGGAGTACAGGTCACACTGGCCATTCTTAGGCCACCACTTGTGCTTGAGGATGTCCATGTCTCCACTCTGCTGCAGCTCCAGGATCCTGGGGGTGGAGAACACAGTGCATGTGACTGTAGCCGGGGTGACTGCCTTGTCCACAACCTGAATGATCATGACTTCCCATCTAAAGATGGCCGGTCTAGCTTGCTAGAGCAGTTTGTAGGTAGAGCACTGCCAAGCTAAAATCATGGGTGCTTTGATCCTGTGACACTTGTGTCCAGGGGTTTTCTTCTACCTTGCCTTCCTTCCCTCTGTCTCCCTCCATTCTCTTATTATTTTGCTCTCACAGGAATGCTAGTGGCCCCTGCCTCATTCATTGCAGTATGTATTTAAAATTACATTCAGGAGGTGCTGTTCTGATGTGGTCTGACACTGATGCAACCCTGCCCTTTCCTCCAGGGAACGCAGCTCTGGACCATGATGTTTTTTTTTTTGAAGAGCCCTTTGCTGCTTCTAGCCACACACTGGTGCAATGTGACCCAGCATATGCTATACACACAGGAATTCAATGAAAATAAAACATCTAGTATTTATTATGGTGTGGGAGAAGGCCTTGGGTCAAGTTTTGATGTTGATAAAATACATCACTTTCAGCTCTTCACACAACTGATGTACTTTTCCTTTTAATGCCAAAGGGAAAGTAACCTATCTCTGGGAGGAAGACCAGAGGTGATTAAACTGAAACAACACTTCCTTGAAACAGAAAGAGCTGTGAAAAACCACAGTTTTTCCAAGTGTGGTTCACACAGAGGAGTCATCCTCAGCCCCCCAAATTCTGCTTAGACCTGCCATGCACTGGTGCTTCCGCAGGGGCCGTGTTCCCCAAAGCCAAAGCAGCTCTGCAGGTTCCTGATCCAGACCCTTAGCAATCCTCAGGGTATTTCAATTCATTCCCTGGGCTGTCCTGAGAGCCAGCTACAAGGGCACCAATACCCTACGGGGTGGTGATTGGGAAGAGTGGGGACAGCAGGGGTGCATTGGTTCCTGAGGCACACTGTTTTTGCTAGCAGCCAGCACTGGAGTCCGGAGGGAGGAATTCAGTGGAGCTCCTGGAGAGCTGGTGTCTCTGCAAACCTCCCAGCTACTCACAAATAAGTCACTTGAACCCAAACCTCCTGGAGATCATAAAGATGTATTTGTCACATATGTTTGTCAAGATAAGAGGGTGGGGCATAGCCATCAGTTTTAGCTCGATTTATAATTTTATATGAATCAACTTTGGGTATGTGGTCCTATATTTGTGCTCTGGCTCTAGCCCATACCGTCTCTGGAGGAACTCAGCTAGTCTAGGAGTAAATCACCCACTGTCCTTCCTATGCTAAACCTTCTGCCTGGCCAGATGATAACAAAATAACAAAGACAAAGATCTTGGGCACTGGAGGTAAGGTCCACAACTCACCTGAGATAAGAGTGCGAGTGGCTTGGGGCTACAGAGGATGGCTGACCCCTCACATTCCCATCACCTCCCACAGTACCCCAGGGCTAGCATTGCCTAGGTTGCCTCCCTCTTCTCATGGAGGCCATGGAAATGATTGTAAATTGTCATCCTCTGCATCTTCAGAATTCCCCCAAGTGCATTCCACCAGCCACAAACACCTACAAGGCCTTCACAAGGCCCTATGGTCATCAACTGTGATACTCTCTTGGGGACTTCTATGATGTCAGCTTAGTAAGTGTCCAAGTAGACCTGTAGCAAAGAAAGCCCTACTGTTCTGTGTAGCTCAGCCTCCCTCAGACCACTTTCATTTTGCTCTTCTCATTTTAGCTCCCCATTAAAGTCAATACTCTATAGAACTCTAGTTTAAGGAGCCCCAAAAAGCGTATACTTGTGGCAACTGCTAGCAGAGGTAAGGCTTACCCAAATACATAATTATGTCATCGAGGATTCTTGCTTGACCTGTCTGTCTACCATTACCATTTAAATGTCGTTGCATCATAATAGAAATAACACAATGTCGTTTAGGAATTTTCTTATCGAAAGGCACAAAATAGTCAAAGCATCTTTAGATATCCTGCAGGAGAACTTCAGTTAGCTTTCAGGAAAGAATTTTGTTTAAAATTGAGTATATAATGAAAGATGAAAAGGGAGTTACGGCAATGTTTGCTCGATGAGAATATAATTGCCTTCAGTGTGTGTGAATACTTATAAGATCCTCCGGTGAATACTCAAGTTGGAGGAAACTCAGGTTGCTTACAAAAGATGACATGCTGGCCACATAGAACACTCCCCCCCCCCTGACATGCACCATCTGTGGTGCTTTGAATGAAAATGCCCCACAGTAGGCACATGCATTTGAACACTTGATCCCCTGCTGGAGAATCTGCTGGGGGCATTTAAAAAGTATGGCCTTTCTAGAGGAAGTATGCCATTGGAGGTGAGCTTGGAGAGTGTGAAGACTCATTCCATTCTTTAGTTCACTCTTTCTGCAGTTGTGCTTGCAATTAAGGATGTGAGCTCTCAGCTTGATGCGCCTGCTGCTGGGCCTGCTCCTTGCTGCCTGCCTCCCTGCCATGATGGATTCGTACCCCTCTGCAACCATGAGCCAAATAATCTCACTCATCCTCTGGTCACGGTATTTTATCTCAGCAACAGAAAAAAGCGACTCATATACCATCCCTTACACTGTTCATCTGCCGATTATGTAAATACCATAAGCCAATCTGAACAGTTGTTATGCTGTCCTGTTTAAGGAATGGTGACAAGAAAAAATAAAGTCTTTGTATGTTCAGTGCAGAGGCATGTCTCCTTTTCAGGATATCTAGGACCTGTAGCTTGATGACTCTGTGGGCACATGGACACAAAAGATTCAGAACCGCAGCCCCAGCCACCTCCCCTTCACCACCATGCTGATCAGTGTTTGAGAGAGGTGAGTTTTCCTCCACATTCCTTACCTTCCTTCACAGTTGCCTGTCACGGGTGACTACCATGCGATCTCCTCTCTAGAAAGCCCACTCCCCTTCTCTGCTGCACAGGTGGCTATTGATCAAATATGCCCAGCATGGCGTCTGCTAAGGGAACCCTGCCCTCACCTCCTACTCTTTTTTCCCCCTCATCACCAAGGCTGTTTTATAATTTATTCCATTTTCTATGAATCTATCCATCCATTCAATAAATATTTCAAGAGAGACCCATGCCAAGCATGCCTTGTGCACAAAATTTATTCTCCACCACGACTATGCATTCAGGCGAAACAGCCTGGCACACGGCGGCAGAGCTGTCCTTTCACTGTCTTCCTTCTCTCCTTCACCCAGGATCTGGTTACCGGTTGCCACCTCTTCGCTCTCCTTAATCATTGCTGAAACCTCTGTGTTTCATTCACTTATTCTGCCTCTTTATTTTTTTTAATATGTGAGGAATATTTTCACATAAAAGCTAGCACTGAATTATACAAATTATATTGCACCCATTCCAATTCTAACGGGAGCTAGATGCAGTAGATTGGAAGACTTAAACTGCAGAGTCTGACGTTCACGTTCACGTAGTTAGGGAGAGAAGTTCACAGGTAGGGAAGAATGGGAACGTCCTCTCAAGCTCTGCCACAGCGGTCTCTCTCAGGATCATGCAGATGGGGGGGGCGAGGGAGGGAGAAAGGAAAGGAGAGAGGGAGGGAGGGAGAGAGAGAGGGAGAGAGAGAGAGAGAGAGAGAGAGAGAGAGAGAGAGAGAGAGAGAGAGAGAGAGAGAGAGAGAGATTTGGCCCTAGACTTCCCTAGCTTGGGATAGAACACTTTAGGGCAATGAAAGCTTCATTTAGGCCTGGAGTTCTGCAAAACCTTGCTATGAAATTTAGTGCTCTGGAAGTTCCCTAAGAGTCTCATCATAGCACCTAATCATTTAAAAAACAGTTTTTTTTTAAAAGGACTAGTTGGAGTAAGCTTAGTAAAATATAATGTTCTTCCTTAAAAACCAACAAGATGAATTCCTGTATTAAAATGAAGATCCACAGGCGGATCTCTGTGAGTTCGAGGCCAGCCTGGACTACCAAGTGAGTTCCAGGAAAGGCGCAAAGCTACACAGAGAAACCCTGTCTCGAAAAACCAAAAAAAAAAAAAAAAAAAAAAAAAAAAAATGAAGATCCAGGTTCACTTTTCAAATCTTCAAAGAACTCTTGTAAGTGAAGCTTAAAAGCACACCTAGAGGAGAGTTCAAGAATACAGTAGTAAAATCTCCAGCTCTTTGGGAAGACAGGATTTTCTGTTATGCGCACGAGTTCCACATGGTGACAGTATTGACTCACACAGGGCGCCACTGCAGCTATGGCTTACCTGTGGGCGGGCTTGAAACGCAGGAAGCAGACACTTGTGCCTTGAGCACTTAACTATTAGACACAAAATTAGCTACTAGATTGTGATGAACGATTAGATGGCTCAAACCTTTTCTTCAAATGCAGTGGGAAAAATTCCTGCCATTTTAAAGGTCGGAGAGATGACAACCGCATTTTCTTTTGAGGGCTACTGTAGTGAGAATGAACGAGATCACACACGCACACAATGGATCATGCCATCTTGCTCACTGCTTGGGATGTGGGAGGGGAGCACAGTTTGAAAGTTAGGTTACGATTGTCAGTGCTCGAGTGCGCGTGCGTACGTGTGTGTGTGTGTGTGTGTGTGTGTGTGTGTGTGTGCGCGCGCGCTTTCTCGAGCGCATATGTGTGTGTCCGTGCGCGCAAGCGCGCTGGTCTTGTTCTTCGGACCGGTTCTGGCATATTCTTCTTCATTTAGAATTTGCGAGTGATTCACTGATAAGAACACTGCATTTCCTTCTTTTTCCTAGTGTTCAAACATTTGCACTTTCACTGAGCAGAAAAAACCAAAAAAGGTTCAGCTTGAAAAGGTTTCTAGCTCAGCCTGGGCACCCTGAGTACCTTGTTGATATAAATGAGCAAATTCCAAGGGAAGGCTGTGAAGCCAACCGTCCTTCTTTCATATTCAAATAAAAGCATTCAGCACGTTCAGGCAGGCCTGGGAAAAAGGCTTTTGCTCACTTTGAAGATAATAGCTTCATTTCTGTGCGAGGCTGCTCTAACCCATTGATCACTTACCAC